TGTCAGATCTCTGGCTTGAACAGTGGAAACTTCCAGCAACAGCCTAGTTTTAAAAAGCCTTGGCCTTTTCCACAGGAGGCTTGGCGTCCCACCCAGGCCTTGCCATGGATCCCCTGTGTGAGCGTGGCCAATCCTTTTCTCTGTTTTCTCGGCTGCACAATGAGGCACTGGATGAAAGGACAGAGGCTCTCTCAGGCCCCTGCGGCTTTCCAGGTCTGGGAATCCACCATTCTAGACCTGTGGATTCAGACAGAGACACCTAGAGGCGGGCTGTGCCCACAGCGCTCAGTCCCTGCAACAGGCAATGAAATCATGCTAGACTCGCCAGGGTTTCTGCTCAATTAGTTCGTCCCCCAACAGCATAATAGCTACAGGGAAAGCATCAGGCTGAAGGACATTCGTTCACTTGGCAGCTTTTGTCGTTCTTCGAGTACCTACTATGTGCAAGGAGCTGTGTCAGATGCTTTACCAAAGTCAGTCCCAATTTTATAGATGAGGAAATCAAAGCAGAACAAAACAATGATGACTATTACATCACTGGCTAACATGCAGAGCGAGCCTACTATGCACTAGGCATGGCTTCAAGCATTACACATGCGTTAATGGACTTAATCCTTGAAATAGAGATGTGAATGCTATCCCCCTTTTACGGATGACCCAAATGAGACACAGAGAAGCTCAGTCAATGATCCAAGCAAGTAGCAGGGCCGCGACCGGCAGCCAGGGGTCTTAGGGCTGTCTTAGCACGAGGCTAGGTTGTGTCTCCAATGAACAGGCTAAACAGTTGCTAAGGCTGGAGACCCAGGTGTAAGAGTGAAGGTGCATGTATATACTGACAAAACAAGGAGGAAGTAAAATATAGCCTCAGACAAGGGGCAGATAAAATCCTGGGGGGAAGGCTCGAAAGAGGAAGCAGTCCCTTGGAGCAGGAGGAATATAAGCTGAACCTTGAAGGATGCATAGGACGCGGACGCAGGAAGAAAAGGAGGTATAGGGAAGGGCGTTTCGGGTGTCAGGAACAGCAAGGGTGCAGGTTCAGAGCTGGGAGTTGAGCTGAGGGCATGGATTTGTACAAAAGTGTTTACCAAACTGGGTTAGGCTGCATGTTAATAGGCGTTCTACAAACCAAACGCCTCTTGTTCATATGTTCAGGGAACACTGGAACAAACGTGCTCCAACTTGGGATTCTACCATGCGGGACTCCTCAGGGTCTTTTAGGTGCTCATGTGCTTGGGCAGCCAGCAGCAAAGCTCTGGTCTGCAGCGAGGAAGTCCAGTTATCTCACATCTCGAGAGGTCAGCTTGTGGGAACGCACGTGGCTGGAAATCAGGCCTGTCAGGGAGGAAGCCCAGGCTTTGCTGCAGCTTTTTGTTTTTTAAAGAAAACTTGGACCTACTCAACAGCTTTGAGCTGGGGAGTGACATGATCTGAGTTGTGTTGACAGGCCAGAAATCTGAGCACATTTAAAAAGCGAGAGGGAGGGGGGGAAACCTTCCGTCAGTCCAAGACTACAAATAAGAAAATAACCTGTCGCACGGAGCCATTGGAAGCAGCGAGCGAGCGCGTGTGGGATCCATACAACACTTTTAGACTCCCTTCCTCTCGCACACCCCCTCGCCATCTGTCGCAAAGGGCACCAGGAAGATGCAGGGAGGAATATTCCAGCTCTAGGGGCTCCAGAGCTCGGCAGCCTAGATGGGGGGGCTCTTATGGGAGCCACATCACTCCCTATGTGTTGTCATTTGGGAGGACCAAGGGGCTGTCAGTGTTTCTTCCATCCACCGTGGTCTTTCAGAGAAATGCTTTTGACTCAGTCAAAAAACTTCTGCCCAGAAAAGAAAGTCTTCCACGATCCTCCACCTACGCCCAGAGGGGGCTTCTCTCACCCTCTCCAGCTCGGACAAAGTAATCCTGCTGAAGTCATTTAACTTCTTCCCTCAGAGGCCACCCAGTGGGAAGGCCAGTATCCAAAATGCCAGCTCATCTACCACTTGGACAAGTTACATCCCTAGTTTTGGACTCGATTTGCCTCATCTGAAAAATGGGAAGAAGAGCCAACTCATCTTTGCTGATGAGATTATGCAGACACAGCATAGAGCCCGGAACGCAGTTAACTAATGCAGTTAGTGAACATTGGTTCTCCTCCCTTCTTTCAACACATGGTTCACACCAGCACTTCATACGTGCTGCATGACTGCAAGTAAAGGAATGAATCACACCATGAGTCTCCATGGGATTGGTAAAGAATAATTAATGGCCAGAAAGTACCCAGAGAGCACCACGGCTTTAAGGACCTTCCAAGCGCCTGAATTCGTCAAGCTGAATCCTCCCCGCTTTCTTACGAAAGAGGAAGTGCGACTAACTTTACCATTTAGGAAAGTACAGAGGAGCCACCAGCATGCCACCCTCTGCCAAAGGGTCAGAGGTTCACTGGAGGGTCCAGCTGTCCCCCAAAGCCTGAACCCCAACTTGGCTTGGCTTCCTCCCGACCAGAGCAAAGGAGTGAATGGGAGTTCATTCGAGGTCTGCCCAGGGGGTGACTCAGAGGGTCCCAAGGCCTAGGTGGGGCCAAGCAAGCATCCCGCAGGTTTAGCGTCGGGCCCCGCTGCCAGAGTCCCCAAGCCCAGCCCCTTGCCCTTCTCCTAGTCTGAGAATCTCTCCCAGTGCAGCTGTTTTAGGAAACAGGCCTCACATTGGCTCCAAAAACACAGGTTGGTGACTTCACTGTATCTTTTTAGAATCTCCCTTTGGCAGCACTTGCGCTGAAAGCAATCTTTAGAAACTTCTTCCCTTGCCTCCCCCAACCAAGATAATCCACATGACCAGCCCCATTCCCCCCCAAACAGTGATCATGTGAAGCCACAGCAATCATGTGACACCTCCCAGGCTGACAGTTCTGCCCGAGACATCGTAGTCATTCAATCCAAGGCTGCTTTCCTAAGCCTGACATTTGAGTTTCTCACTCGAACAAATCCATTTTCTTAGAAAATTGGACAACTGCCTCCTTCCACCTTCCTGCCCTTGTATCCTGTCTCTCTTCTGCTTTGTCGTAAATTCCATATCTGAAGCAACAGAGCGGGTGTCCCAAAGCCCCATTCTTCAGCCAAACCAGGTGAATTCCGTGCCTGGGTCCAGGGTGTGACCAGGACCCTGAAGAACAGAGTGAAGGATGCTGGGAGGCTTGAACTGTGAGGGTCACATCCCACCCCTTCCCCAAGAAATTCATTCTCACCTTCTAAGATTTATTTATTTCAAAGCTAATCTGGCCCCTCTGCTGCTCCCACTTTTTCAGGCTATTGATGCTGAATGGATTGGAACGGAAGTTTTATGGCCCAATCTTTACCATTTTATAGATTGTTTTTATAGGCAAAAGGGGGAGATATGCTCACAAGAAAGGTGTTGGTGTTCCCAGCCAGTGCCTGGGAAAGGCAGGCTGCCCATCTGAACACTTGTTAATCAGCGTCACCGTTCATTTGCCAGGGACTGAGCCACAGGCTCCTGGTTGGAGAAGGGTCTGGAATAGACATTTAGAAATTAACTTGGGCCCAGTTCCCTACTTCAGGAAAATCAAGCATTTGTGAGTGATGCTTGCGCATTTCCAGGCCAGGAAGGATGGCAGGGCAGGAACTCGGACTTTTGCAGGGTAGAAATGGCCGGCTCAGGCAGGAAGGAGCAGATCGGAGATGCCACTCGCTGGAGAAACATGAAATTTATCAAGGCTTCCTTCCGCCTAGCAAGGACCCAACTGTAACTCAAAAGAACTGGGGTGGGGTGGGGAGGATGTCTATGTGGATTCCTGGGGTTCAGGGGAAACTGCAGGGCAAGGGGGAGCTGCTGTCTGCCCCCCACTTCTCCTTCCACCCTCTCTTTGCTAGTTCTCCCTTTCTCCCCGCTATCAGGTGGTTACCAGTCTCTAGGCAAATGCAAAAGGGGGGGGCTGGATACTGACCTCATCTTTTCCTCCCTCCTCAAGGCTGGGAGGTGCAGAGACCCCTATGCCCACAACACAGCTTCAAGAGGCCAAAAACCAAGATCCCCATTCTTCTCTCCCTCCCAACTCCTTTAAAGCCATTTCGCTGCCCACCCTACGCCCTCCCAGGAGACCCACCGGTTTTTGCAAAACCCCTTTAAGAAGCAGGACTCCGGAATGGTGACCTCACCCATTGGCGAACACACACACAGTAGCCTTCAGAGCCCGCCTGCTGGCGACAGCCAGGTGTTTGATGTAGGCCAACAGAAAGACATGCTCAGAGCCACAGGTAACATCCCCACGGAGCACCTCAACTGCAGGGAGCTGGAAGCCTGGGGAAGGCAGGAGGAAGCCTGGAGCCAGGAGAGCATCAAGGAGCGAGACATCCAGGGAGAGGCTTTGGCAACCATAGGGACAATCCACCGTGTTTTCACATAGGATCTGTTGATCGCGGCAGCTCACTCCCGGGTTACCGCGGCCTCCCTCTCTTTCTCTCTCCCCTCATACACAAACGGCGATTTACTCCGTGCACCAGAGGGAGAGCTCACTCTTTCCTAATTGCAACAGCCTGTCTCTGTTCCTTTCCAGGCAGCACTGGGAGCACCTCTGCCCTCACCCCCCTCCCCCTCAGACCCTGAAGCCAAACATGTGGAAAGCATAAGTCTAGGGAGAGAGCTTCTAGGGAAGGCAGGGCACCCTGTTCTGTAAGCCACCGTCAGCCTGCCTCCCCCATCGGACTGGGCAGGGGCTACCAACTCATCTCCTCTGTCCCAGCACAGTGCACGCAGTCAGAATCCACAGAGACAGACCCTCATAGCAAGAGACCTAGGTTCTATCCTTGGCTGTGTGACCTTGGGCATGTCGCTGGCCCTCTCTGGGCCTCAGTTTCTGTACCCATTACCCCCGTTACAGGCATCCCTCCCCCTATTACTGCTCAACATTAGCAGAGTGGATCCCGGTGTCTGTCTGAGAGGCCTGAGCCCGCAGTTTGGGGAGGGCAGCGGTGGGGAGTAGGGGGTGCTCAGCTTACCTGACCAGGCGCAGGACGCGGCGAGCAGCAGGCAGAGCAGCGGCCCGAGGCGGCCGGGGGCCGGGCCGGCGGGCTCCATGGGCCGCGGCTGCGGAGCGAGGAGGGAGAGCGGCCGTGAGTGCGCGCTCGGGCGGGCGCAGGCTGGAGCGGGGAAGTGACTAAGGCTCCCCCCACCCCCTCCCGGCCGGGCTTCCCCCCTCTCCCGAACGGGCGCTTGGAGCGGCTTAGGAGCCGCCGTCACCGCCGCGATTTTCGGAGAACCCCCCCCCCCGGAGAGATCGGGAGTCAGAGAGGGGAAGAGACCCCAAGCGCGCGAGAAATAAAGCCAGGGGCGGCCAGAGAGAGGCGGCAGGAGAGAGAAACAGACCCAAGGGAGCCAGGCAGAAAGCCAGAGACACCGAGAGGCGAGAGGAGGAGAAAGAGAGAGGAGGAGAGAGCGAGAGCGAGGAGTGAGCGAGGCGGCGCGCAGACCGAGACAGACAGCGCGGGAGAGAGGACCGCGCGGGCAGGGGCGAGGGGCAGCACGGCCGAGCCCGGCCGCGCGGAGCCGCCCCCGCCGCTGCCCACCTGCCCCGCCCGGGCTCCTCGCGGCGCCGGCGGCTCGGCTCGCTCCCGGCCCGCAGTCCCGGCCGCTGCCCCCGCCCTCCCGGCAGCCCGGCCCCCTCCCTCCTTCCCTCCCCCCTCCTCGCGTCTTCCCGCCCGCCCGGGGGCTGCGGGGCTCCGGCCCCGGCGGCACCTTCTCCGCGAGCGAGCGCCCGCCTGCGCGCCCTCCAGCAGCGCGCCCCGGGGGAGGGAGCGAGGGCCGCGCGCCGGGCCGGGGAGGGCAGCGTCGGCCCCCGCGCCCGCCCGGGCCCCCAGCTGCAGCCCCGGGAGGCGGCCCCGCGAACCGCCGCAGCCCGCTCGGGCGCGGGACTGGACGCGCCTCCGGCGCCGACTGTGTGCCAGTTCAGAAGCCCGCGCGGCTCGCCCCAAGCCCCGACCCGGCCCCCTCTGCCCTCCCGCTCCCCGCCAGGCTCGGACCTGCGCCTCCCGCGAGGGCTGGAAGGCACTGGAAGCGCCTCCGGGGGCTGCCCAGAGGCCGGGCCCCCCGCTCCACTTTGCGCAAACTTGTTTTTCTAAGGTCAGCGCCGCGAGCTGGCTACACCGTCCTCTTAAGGTGGACCGGGGAAATTGCGGCCGACCTCCCCTCGCCTCCGGACTCCCGCCGCGGTTAGTCCCGCTTCCCTGGGGCGAGAGGCTGGAGGCGGCGGAGGAGAGCGGGCGTGGAGGGGTGGGAGTGGGTGCGTGTCTGCCGTTTGCCCCTCCCCGAGGTGCCCTGCCCCTGAGCCCCAAAGCTGAAGGCCCTCTCGGGGTGGGTGCCGGCCAGAGGGGCCCGATTCTTCCAGGGCTGGGCGGAGGTGAAGGAAAAGCAGGAAGTAAGTGAATGTAGGGGGAAGGGGGAGAGGAAGAAGAGAGTGATGGTACAAAAATAGCGTGTGTGTAGGAAGGACTTCAGTACCGCCTGGAAAAGAGGCGCAGGGAGGAGAGGTAGCGGGAAGGGGGCTGTGGCTGGGAAGAGCCAGGGGCCTCCCCGGGAAGTGGGAGCTCTCTGGCCTGGTTCTTCTCTGTCTCAGAGGGCAGATTCAGGGGGTAGGGAAGGCCCAGGCAGGGGTGTAGAGGGGAGAGTGGGAGCCTTGAAGGCCGGGGCTCCAGGAAAATGACAGGCAATGAGGAAGATGAGGGGACAGGAGTTGGACGGGCAAGAGGCCTGGAGTTGGAGAGGGCAGAACCTCTCCGCGGAAAAAGCAACCCGTGTTCCCTCTCTGGAGGGAACACTGTGTCCCCAGTGGCAGCCAGGTCAGTGATGGGGGGTGAGAGCGCTGTGGGCATCTGGCAAAAGAAGGCTCTGCACTGTGGGGAGAGAAAGGAGTTCAAGACCCTCCGCTAATTGGAGGGTTTTTGAATTGGAAATAAGCTTGGAGAGGACCAATTTTGCTTCACACGGTGGCTGTTAACCAAGATATAAATGTAGCAAGGTGGGAGAAGGCCCAGGCCTGTAAATGGAGAGGGAGCTGAAGCCCAGAGAGGGAGTACACTTGCCCAAGGCCACACAGCAAGGCCTGAGGTTGGAATAGATTTGAATTCCTGATTCCCAGGCTAAAGACCTGTGCAAAGTGACCACTCCCACCCCCACCCCAGCCTCCTGGTCAAATGCCTGGTCCTGCTGTTGTTCTGAGACAGATGGGAGCAGGCAGGGTGCAGCTCTTGAGAGCAAGGGCCAGACTCCCTGGGTTCAAACCCTTCGGCCACCTGTTGTGAGCTGTGTGTACTTGTCAAATACCCTACGGCTTCTTGGCCTCAGCTTCCCCATCTGAAATGAGGCCAACACAAATATCAACCTAAAAAGGCTATTGTGAGAATTAGATGAATTCATATTTGTACCACACCTCGAAAAGAGCCATGCACGTACCAAGTGCAACGTAAGCATTTGGGAAGTAAGTACAGTGTCTGATGACAGTCCTTGGGAGCCCACAGGGTTCTGGGCAGACTTTGCAGTGCAGGGGAATTTTCATTTCGTCGGATGTGGGAGAGCACCATAGTGACCCACACAGGTTCTTGTCCACGAGGAATTTACGTTCTAGTGGGGGAGACAGATACGTAAGCAAGTAGAAATAATTAATGGACAACTGAAGACTGAGAGAGTGAGAGGGCTGAGTGCATTTAGATAAGGGAGCCAGGCAAGGCCTCTCTGAGAAACGGGGACCTGAGTCACATGGAAGGAGAGAAAGGTGAAGACCTGGGGAGAAAGGTGTTCCAGGAAGAGGGACCAGGACAGATAAAGGCCCCGAGGCCAACTTGGCTGGAGTCGAAAGAGTGCAGGAGGGGGCAGGGTGGTCCAGCTGGCAGCTGGGTGGCCTTGAAGGCCTAGGTTTATCTGCATTTATTCTGCAGATGGGAAACCATTGGAGGGTTTTCAGCAGGGGAGGGCTGTGGGCTGATTTATGTGTTTTAAGGCCACACTGTGGGTGGAGAGTGGGCTGGGGAGAGGGGAGCATGGAATCGGGCACCAATGAGGAAGGAGATTGTTCTGGGGTCATCCTAGTATCTGAGGTGGGGGGCAGGGCAAGTCTCCAACTCCTCAGGCCCCATCTGGCTGGAACCATGAAGGTGACCAATGAGGCTGCTGGGAAAATCTGGTACCAGAGTCCATCCAGGGTGGGAGTGGGGTAGGGGCTGCTGATGAGGTCAGAGAAGAGGTGGCCGGCTGCCCTGAGCTTCCAGAAGGCTCTGCTGTTCACCGTTCCTCAAGACACACACACACAAACCTGCCTGGGATTAGGAAACTGGGGATTAAGGAAGGATCATAATTGAACCACCTGCTATTTATACATAGCACCTTTGGCAAAGGCGCTCAGCAGGGCTTCCCGACAAGGGGCTGGTCCATCCTCACTTCTGCCCAGGAGGGGGCCCTGAGCCTTGTTCTCTGTCCACATAAAAATCACCCTTGGCCAATCTCGAGGCTGAGAGGTCACTGAGGCCACTGGGCAGATGGGCAAACTGAGGCAGAAGGACAACTTGCCTGAGGTCATGTAGAGAGATGATGGCACATAACTGGTGCGAATCAGCCACCCCCATAGCAGGCGGTCTGTGCTGCCCTAGATTGAAATCGAACTGCCTTCATACATATTCATTCGTGCACTCAACAATATTTATTAAGCATCTACTATGTGCCAGGCACTGGGGATGCAGCAGTTGCAAAAAATAAAAAAAAACAGACAAAAATCCCTATCCTCAAGGAGCTGACATTCTAGTGGGGGAAACAAACCCTCAGTAACATGTTTAGTCTGTGAGATGGAGATAGGTGCTACAGGAGGATAAAGCAGGGAAAGGGCCCCAGTGCTGCTGAGAGGGCTGGGGTGCAAGTTTGAAATGGGATCAGGGAAGGTCTCACTGAGGAGGGGAGATAGGAGCCTGGACTCTTCCCTGTTGCTCCTAGAGGGCGATCTGCCAGCACAGGGCAGCAAAGCTCCACCTCTCTCACCTGGGTGGCCTGTTGCCACCTTGTTCTTCCTGTTCCTCACTTAGCAGCCTGAGGGATCCTTCTATAGAGGTCAGATCACATCCCTTGCCTGTCGTCCAGGGTCTGCTGGAAGGACTTGAATGAGCAGGAGGAGAGGGGGATCAGGGCTAAGCTAAGACTTTGTGATTTGACTTACGCAACTCGGGCAAAAAAAAATTTTTGAGCCTCAGTCTTTTCATCTGTAAAATAGAAATAACAGGGGCAACCCTGATACAAGGTTGTGTCAATGGCGGCACAGATGTGAAAGCAGGGGGCCCGTCTGGAGCTTGGCCTCTGCAGGCAGGGCGACAGCGCCCTTGTGTGTGCCGGGTCCCTCGATCGTCTTCATCTCGCTGCAGCCTCAGCAAGTCCACTGGGTTCCTAGAGGTGAGGAGACGAGCCCAGAGACGGAATGTGACTTGACCAGGGCCACTCTGCCAGGGCACAGCACCTGCTCGGCGCCAGCTCCGGCCCTGCCCACGCTCCGGTCCCGCTTCCCGTAACCCTGGGCTGGCGTCAGCAGGCAGGCCCGCCAGGCTGCCTTTGTGTGGGGACTGTCAGGAGGCTGGAGCTGCCAACGACCTATTTTTCTGGGCAAGAAGAGCCATTTGGAGTTAGAAGCCTCAGCTGTGAAGCCAGAACAATGAAAATAAAAACAGCATGGCCTCCCGGGCAGCCCGGACCGGGAACCAACTGCCCTGGAGAGAAGCTGCTGACCGGGCTGGAGAGACAGCGATGGGGGTGGGGGGCGGGAGTGGTCTTGCTGAGCCCCGCCGTGTCCTCTGATCCTTACGTGGGCTCCCTCTGAGGCTCACAACAGCCCTTCTCCCGGGTGGCTGCCATCACTCCCATTTCATAGCTGTGGAAACTGAGGCACACTGAGGGATGGAGAGACTCCTCCAGGATACCCAGCGAGCGGGTGGCTGAACCAGTCATGATTCGAACTCGGTTTTCCATAAAAATAACAGTTCCCATTTGTTCAGCTCCTACTATGCTGTACAGACTCATTCCTGTGACATATTCATACCACACCTGGGAGGGGGTGCTAATAATTCCCTCGGTTTACAGGTGAGAAAGCCGAGATTTTGAGAGGCCTGTGCTCACATGCCACGCCACCCCTGCCCCAGTATGCCCCCTGTCCTCTTCCCTACTTAATTTTGTCTTCGTAGCATGCATGAA